CTTGGCGCTGTCCCTCAGCTCTTGAGCTCAAGGCTAGTGCTCTACCATTTGAGCCACACCACCACTTCTGGCTTTTTCTGCTTATGTGGTGCTGAGGGCTTCATGCATGCAAGGCAAGCACTTTACCACTGAGCCACCTTCCCAGCCCTCTAAAGCAGTTTTGGACACTTTTCTTTTGTTGGGCTTGAACTCTGGGCCTGGGTACTGTCCCTCAGCTCTTCAGCTCACAGCTAGTGCTCTACCACTTGAGACATAGTGCCACTTCGGGCCTTTTCTGTTTATGTGTGCTAAGATATGGAACCCAGGGCCTCATGCATACGAGGCAAGCACTCTACCATTGAGCCACCTTCCCAGCTCACTTCTTGACACTTTTAAACACGGATTTAAAAAAAATTACTTATACATATATGACTCTCTATATTACAAACTACTTTTCTGCAGGAACTCTGACTGTGTTTTTCTAAATATTCCTTACTGCTAATAGATTATCTTGCTACCAATGACTATGAAGAGAGATTGTTTAGTTGGGTAAATTAGAGACAGAATATTTGTCAAAGGAAATTAGACATCTCTTAATTGTGCACTGGTTGCTCACACCTGTAATCCAGGGAAAGGCAGGCTGTGAGACTTTTATCTCCAATTAGCCACCAGAAAACCAGAAGTGGAGCTGTGGCTTAAAGTGGCAGAGTGCTAACCTTGAGCAAAAGAGCTCAGGTCCTGAGTTCAAGCCTCCATGAATGACAAAAAAAATTTAAAAAATGAAATCATACACATTTCTTTAGTAAAAATGTTTTATTTCAGAGTACCCAGCCCTTCTTGATTGGATGCTATTATGGATTGACTTATAAAGCACACATTTAAAAGCTGGCTTGTGGCTAAGATATCTCAACCTGATGAAACTTCTGAAGAGCAGAAACTGTAGTATATCTATAGATGACATTGATTTTTTATTTAGACTCCAGTGGCTGGTACGTGCCTTGTATTTGGAGGATGGGAATTACAAGGATCAGTTCTCTTTGTATTTACTCATTTTCTTTACGTGCTTTGGCCCCCTTAAATATTTTTTTTTTAAAAATTTACCTTTTACATCTAATTCCTTAACAGTATCTTCTTCTTTGTTACCTTCGCCTTCATCAACTGGCCATTATTTTGATTCATCAGTGCACCTCCCCCCTCATTTCTCTGGCCTTCCTTTCCCTTATTCCTTGACATCTTTTCCCCTGTTTGGGCCTCTCGTTTGTTTGGTACTCCTGTCTCATTTTTCTTTTCTTGGGATTCCTGTCCTTCACGAGCTTCTGCCTCATTCGTCTTCCCTTGGATTTCCGGTCCTTTTGGTCCTAACGCCTCACTCTTCTTGGCTTGGGTTTCTGGTCCTTTTGGTACTAATGCCTCACTCTTCTTCGCTTGGGTTTCTGGTCCTTTTGGTCCTAACGCCTCACTCTTCTTGGCTTGGGTTTCTGGTCCTTTTGGTCCTAACGCCTCACTCTTCTTCCCTTGAGTTTCCGGTCCTTTCAGTGCTAGTGCCTCATTTTTCTTCTCTTGGGCTTCAGGTTCTTTAGTCACTCTTGCATAGGATTCCTGTCTTTTTGGTAGTCCGACTTCACTTTTCCTTATTCGGGACTCCTGTCCTTTGGGTTCTCCTGCCTCGATCTTCCTCTCTGGGGCCTCGGCTCGCTTGGACGTGCCCATCACACCCCTCTGGGAGTCCTGTCCTTTTGGTATGAATACTTCACTGGGCTTTATTTGGGACTCCTGTCCTGTTGGCTCTCCTGCCTCGATCTTCCTCTCTGGGGCCTCGGCTCGCTTGGAC